TCCAGAGATCAAGCTGACATCTGACACGGATTTAAGATCGGTCATTACTGATCTATCTTATTAATTTTTTGCTCGTAGTATCTCATAGAAAAGGAAGGCATCGCTATATTTCCTACGATCTTCCCTTAAAAAGTTGACAGTATCACAAAAATTAAAAAAAAGAAGGTGGTTTTAGTTGATTTTTTTCCTGATAAATTTCATTTCTTTTCAGCTTTTGTGATGCTTTTAACTTTTTAAGGAATACTCATAGAAAATTTGACGATCCGTTATGTCGCTCAGAATTGTTTCACTCTTAAAAAGGGCATTGTTAAAAAACTAGCTTCGACAAAGTATGCAGGAATTTGAAAACTATCGTTTCATCTTACTTCATCTATGCAACCTTGATATAGAAAACTCTATTGGCTATTAAAATGACTATCTAACTTTGATCTAATTACTTAACATTATAGAAAAAATACATTATCGTTAAACTGTTTTCACCACCTTATATGAACTGATAGCAAAAAACAATGCCTTACGTTTTTGTAGTATTTGATCATTTTCTAACTAATATCACAATAAGAAAATTTTGATACCAGCTGTTTGTTATGATATGTAACGATGAGGTATCTTCTCATTTTATTGACAGAATATTTTATCCTTTCCATCAACGCATATTATTTCTGAGCAATTTCAGAATTTTTCTCAAGAAATATTGCCTTGAACGAAAAAAAAAAATATAATCTAAACGATGATGACATTATCCGACATTTTCAATAAAATGAACGCTGCCATGAGAAGAAACGTCAGAAAAACGTTGTCAATTAGCGAATTTGTGGATGTTTTGTATTGGGGTTATATGAACAAGCATTCATACGAATTAAAAGAATCATTGTTCGAAATCAATGTTTGTTTATAAAATACTACCGAATAGAAAGTATTGATGAAATGGAACTTAACCTGTAACAATATCTAATAATTGAAATGGATTATCACATTACTGTCAAGTAGATTAGGCTAACAAGAAAAAAATTGACTTAGCCTAGTAGCTCTGTTTTAGTATGTTCTTAAGTAAGAAATTACCTTTTTGTATTTGTAATTCAGCTACTCGTAATGATAAATCTCGACATTGTTCATATTTTTCAGCTACACGATAACAAGTACATGCTTTATCAAATTCATCAATAGCTGAATCTAAATCTGGTTTCCATTTAAGAAATGATGTTTTCAGATATTTTTCACCGTGTCTTATATGTTCTTCGGCTTGTTTAATTTTAGCTGAGAAGTTTAGATTAAACATTTTTTTTTTTAGTTTAAATTTATCTAAAACATAAAGATAATAATAATTATTGACTTTTAAATTTATCTGAATAAGAAAAAGAAATAAAAGAAAATTTTAATATTAAATAATAATTTCTTTTTCACGAGCATCTTGAATAATATGTTTATCTTCAGATTTCAATTAATTATTATCAAAATAAAATGTTTGATTTGATTGTAAGTGCCATTCATGCTACGCAAAAAAAGTCTTATTCTATTGAAAATAAACTTAATTCTTTAAAAGTTTTCTATATGATTTTTCCAAGTGTATCACCTATTAAAAAGATGTTCGAGAAGAATAATCAATCGAAGAAATAATCTATATGTGCAATACGTAAACTACATATATCTTCATTAGAATCTCAAGGATAAAATTCACCTTCAGCAAATTGTTTCTTAATAAAGATAAGAAATGATATTTTATTAAACAAAACGTAATATTACTATACTTTTAATAAATGTAGTAAGTCAAAAGTTTTTGTCACATTGGATGATTTACGATTTCATTTGTTTCTTTTAGTTTTTTCAGAAATTTGGTAAAACTTCTTGAATATTTGCCATCTGAAAATAAACATGAATTCGACATTTATCTCGTAGTTTTCTTTTAAAGTTCGATTCTGACACATGTTCTTCAATGCTATTGGACTAATATCTCTTACAATACTAATTCACTGTACTTATTCACGATGGTCAACTCCATCTACCGATGGATACTTTTCTTTTAAAGAGAAAAAATAAAAAGAACATAGGTAAAAAAAAAGAGAACTGAAAAGTTTTAAGAATATATTTGACTGGAAACATAGGCAGCGAAAATTTCTGATCTAGGATAAGGTCAATACTTTTTGCAAGATCCTCATGTGAAAGTTAAAAATGAGAGAAGACTAGCTTTTGGAATGCCACCTAAATGACATATAGTTATTGTCTTGTTGATCGAATCCACATTTAGCAACGCGTANGCGTAACAGTGGTGGAGATAAGAAAAAATTCACAACTTGCGTAAAAACATCATGCAGATGTTTAATGTTCATCGAATATGCAAACTTCAAAAGAAGAGATTCTAATTTGATTTACCGAAGGGTGTAGGGTGTTGGTGTGAATAAAGAAGACACTCACACCAACATCGCACTCTATCTTCACGCCAAGATCCACACCACATAGTCTAGAAATTAAATGATGAAAAAATTTACTAAGTTAACAGAAATATGGTCAAAGCTTCACCTGATAAATGATGCATCTCACAAAGATGAACAAATGAAAACGCTCATAAGATCTGAACTACCTATCTCATAAAAATGAGAAGCCGGTAAGTGTAGACGTGAGTAAAAAGAGAAGACCAACATCTTTACATATACACTCATCCTGATAGCTTGATTTCAAGATGCATACTCTTAGAAATTCTGCTTCTTTGACCTTCGAAGAAGATTGGAAGTTCTCTTTCTTGAACTTTCGATTTCTGAAAAAGATTTATGCAACTTTTCTATATGTTTTTTCTTTACTCTTACGATATTCAATCAAATATTTCTTGAGATGTAC